TATATATATATATATATACATACATACACATACACATACATATTACATGTAAACGCATAAATACAGGTACATATGCGTAAACATATACATATATACATACATATATATATATATATAGATATATAAAAGTACTATAGATATTATATAAACCTCGATAAACGAAATGTGGACGATGTTATAAATAACTGTAAATAATAAAAAATACCCTTGTGCGCCTTAAAAGGAAAAAATACATACAAACGGTCAACACACTTGCCTCTTCTTCGTCGATCGATAGAATCGACGTGGACGACGCGATCGGAATGAAAGAAATTTAAAAAAAAAGCAAATAAAGAAAGAAAGAAAGAAAGAAAGGGGAAAGAGAAGTAAAGTTAACAATGAAAAAATGGAAATGAACGACGAGTAATAATGGAAAAATAATATAATATCAAAGCGCAATGATAATTAATTTAGCGAACGAATTATCTCAGTTCTCTTGCCATTGTGTGTTGTGTGTGTGTTCGTAACGTTCGTTCTCAAGTCAATGAGAGAAAAAGAGAAAGGAAGAGAGAGAAAGAAGGAAAGAAAGAGAGAAAGAGAAAAAATCCTTATCGTAGAGATTAGCGAGAGGACAACGTAAGCAGTCAATTATTATATCGAACGAAATAATAATTAATTAATATTATTATAATATCTCGATTACACAACACATGATTATCTCTATACATACATATATATATATATATACATATATGTAATACGAGAGACAATTTTTCCAGTATTTTCTGTTATCTCTTGTTATATATATATATATATACATATATGTAATATATATATACATATATGTAATATATATATACATATATGTAATACTTATATATATATATATATATATATATAATATATATGCTCTGTAACGATGTAACATTTTCATTAAATATTACTCGAGAGTCCCAAGTATAACGACATAATATATAAACAGGATGTATCGTAATCGTAAATATAATATTCAGGATTAAATTTAGCATAAAAAAATAATAATAATAATAATAATAATAATAATAATAATAATAATAAAAAAATAGAAATTCTCTACTACGAAGGGGAACGAACGTAATATTTTTTATTGGTGTTAATAATACGAACGAAATTTTTCATTTGAGATGTGAATTGTTTTCTTTTTCTTTTTTTTTCCCCATCTTTTTATGGTTAATACAATCCTAAATTTATATCGACGTATTTGGATACACCCTGTATGTATATGTATATATGATATCTATATATATGTATGTATATATGTATGTACGATTTTTTTGATTAACTTTCGTTTTATATGTTTTGAAATTACGTTTAACGTACCAAATCATAATAACGATTCTTCGATAAGTTTTGTTAATGTTTGACAAAAAAATGAATGACGAACGAAATGAATTCGAAATGAGACGGAAAGTTTAAAAAGTAAAAAATATTATGGGAATTATTCATTAATATTTTCTTTTTTAAATAAAACCATTAGCGAATAATATTGTTAGCTTTATCAAAATTAATTATTATTCGTTGGTAAGTATGTATTTATATTAGTTTGAATTTGTTAAATGCTTATCGAAGATCGAACATGGTTTTTAGTACATTCGCGTTCGTTTACTCGTACGATGTGAAATTGCATGCATTTATTTATTTAGGATGGTAATAGAAAAAAAGAAAAAAAAAAAAGAAAAATAAAAATCCAAATTTTACGTAAGTTACATTAACTTCAAATTAATAATTGTCATCTCAATAGATTCTCACATTCGATAAAAAAAAAAGTTATCTTTTAACGGGATATATAATATAGTTGAGGTTAAAAAAGAAATGTTTAAAACATTAAACACAGAGCAAAAAATCATAAATGAATTTCGTACAATTTTT